TCGAATCTGTGTCTCCACCATCTTTAGCAGAAGGGTCCAAAGAAGGGTCCACATCTTCCTTGGCCGCTTCTGATCCCTCGATCACCCTGACACATCTGCTTTTCCATATGACCCATAGGGCCAGCTTTCTGAGAATGTAGAACCAGACCTCCTCGCCCCCCCTGAGATTGTTGGGGATGTTAGTTAGGAGTAGTATATTCAGGGGGGGAATGGTGGGTGGTAGGGCTGAGAAGATGAGGGTCCATAGGCTTCTGATTTTGTTCCAGATCCAGGCCGCCTCAGTGCAGTGAAGGAGGCAGTGGGGAATGTCTTCCGTCGCATTGGCTGGTGTTGCACAGGACGCATAGTTCTGAGCTGTCAGGGTCTGTGTGCTTTCTCCTCTTGTGGAGCCACTGGTTGACATGGAGAGCAGTGTGAGCTATTAGCCACTGCATGCTTCGAATTCTAACTGGTCTGATGGACAAGTACTTGGCCCACGGGATAGACATGGATTCAGTCGGTTGCAAATTCAGAAACCCTTGTCTGCTCTTATCAGCGGCCCTAGCACCTACTCAGGTTGTTTAAAAAAAAAAAAAAAAAGAAAAAGAACCTCTCTTCTTTTCCTTCAGTATGGGGTCTGGGTCACTTGTTTGTAGTCCTAGATCGTATCCAAACTTTACATCGTATTCGAATATTGTTCTTGCTCTGCCAGACTTGCCCACCTCCCAGACCCATTCCTTCGGGTAGAATTCGAGATCTGTGATGCTGAGGTCTGGTTGGAATACTCTCCTTTTTTCTTTTTTCTTTTTTAATTTTAAACCATGCCCCCGCCAGTGTTAGTGGTGCTGATAAGAGCAGCCACCACTAGCACCTGGGGAGAGGCTCCATCTATTGGTGGGGAGCATCACCTGCTGGAAAACGGGTCCAGCGTCCCATATACAGATTGAATATAGAGTACATCACAAGAGAAACTGTCACGGGCGGGATCCTGCCAGCATTGATTGCCCTGGAATCCAGGGGATTGACTGAGTGGGATAAAGGAGGAAAGGGGGAACCTCTTCACCCTAAACCCGGCGCCGGATACCTGCTGATACACACTAGCTCCTCCCTCCCCCTCCCCATCCCCCGTACTTTCTTGTTATTAGCGAGTTCAGGCTGCTAGCCTTGACCCTCCCCAATCTGTAGACCCTGAGCAGCGAAAAAAGAAGGATAAAGAAAACTCCCTGGGGGGCTCCAGGGAAGGATTCCTTATATGATTAAGAGATGTGAGGAAGGCTGGGTTGTAGGATTTTATCATTTAGGACAGGATCTCTGCCAGGGAAAGGACGTGGGGCGGGAAAGGGTCGGGGAAATCAGCAGAGGGGCGAAATGGGAATGAGGGTTCTATGTTTATCCAGTCTTTGAAGCTTAGGCGATAGTCTTTCATCTCTTCCAAATCCCTATGTCCCTCTCCCCCATCTCCGCTCCATTCTACTTTTGCAATCCAACCTTCTCTCTCCCCTCCCACCCAGTCTGTGCAAAATGTTGTAATCCGTCTCCTAACATCTCCTACTTGTTTAAAAAGATCTAATTGTGCTTTGGTGTCTAGCCATCTTTGTGCGAGTTCGAAATGTTCCTGCTGCTGAATCTGTTCGGTGATTTCTGGCACCTCTACTCTCACCTTTTCCATAGCCAGCGTACATCTCTGCCACCAAAGTGCCCATATCACCGCCCTCCTTGCAAGTTTGTACATATTCTCTACAAAAGTCATGGTTGCTTCTGCGTGTGGTCAATGGCCGGTCAATATGGCTTGCCAAGACCAGGGTCAGGGAACTGTAGGTTCCATCTTTCTCCATATGCGATCCCACCATCTCCATATGAATTGGGCGATCGGGCATTGCATGAAGATGTGTTCGATGGTCTCCGCCCTTTTGTGGAAAGGGAAAAGGCTCTGACACTGTTGGCACCATGGAAGCAGCAAACCTTTTTGTTCTAAATTAGTACGGTCGGTCGGCCAGTCATTTGTTGGCAGACAGTAGTGGGCGATTTGCCACTGCAGGGAGGTGATTTTCATGGGTTTTGCCTTCTGTCCTTGGAAACATTTGATTGGGGTCAGAAGAGAGCGATCCACATTTAGGTGTCTGGCCCATCTGTCGTTGACTATGTCTCTCAGCGGTCTTTTGGGTCTGAGCATTTTGTAGGCTGATTTGACCGACAACTGGCGTAGGCTGATGTGGCCTGCTTTGGGGCCTCCCCTCTGCTGGGAGAGTTCCCAAGACCATTCTGCTGGGTCCAGAGCCAGGTCCTGGATTGATTTGAAGGGTTGGAACACCACCCTCTGTCCTTTCTCTTCTAAGACTCTCACTCGATACACGGATGCTCTCTCTTTCCATTCGAGGGGGGCTCTGCTACCTTGGAGGGTGTCAATTATAGTGATTGTGTAGTGTTCAACTAGAACAGCCTGGGGTGAAACCATGTGTATCTGCCCTATCCTTTGAGGAAACTCCTTGTTGGCTACCCAGTCACCTTCCTTTAAGGAGGGGCCTTGTTTAAGAGTTTGGTACCATGCCAGCGGGATAGTTTCAATCAGGTCATCTAAATGTTCCTCTACGTGGTGGCAGTATCGTAGGATTCCATGCATCTGGTCTCCTGTTTTCCAATCTCTTCTGTCATTATCCCAGAGATCCCCGACCCTGAGCACCCCTCTCTTTACCCAGCTTTTCCAAGGCAAAGCTGAGCTTGTCATGATACAGCCACTTAAGTTAGTCACCCATCAGTTTCCAAACAGGGGTTGTCGGTAGACTTCCTCCCAGTGGTTGGGGTGAGTTCTGTCTGGGAGCGGGAGTCTGCGCCAGGTTTCCAATAAGGATGGCTAGAAGGTGTCCAAAATCCGGTCGCCTCCGTCCAGCCCTCCCCTTGCACGGGGAACTTATGTGGGATTGTCCAGAATCGGTCCTCCAGCCATATTAGCGGGTGAGTGGATTGGGGGGCTTCTGGGGCCAGACGGGCTAGATGTTCCAGAGCCAATGCACACCATGGACACTGGGGAACGAAAATGAGCTTTTTAATCCATTTTAATCGTAGTGTTTGCACTTGCGTGGCTGGGTCAATTATTCCTAAGCCTCCCTCTGCCTTAGGTTCGATAATGGAATCCCACGCCACGCGGCTGATTACGTTATTTTGCTCACAGTCTCCCCGCCATAGGAAAGCAGCCGCCTTTCTCTTTAGGCTTTTTAATGTTGTTTTGCTTAGTGGCCACAATAGCGATTTGTACCATAATATTGCGAAGACCACGTTGTTAATTACTAATGCGCGGCCGAAGAGGGATGTGTGCTTGTTTCTCCAGTTATCTAATTTTTGTCGTGTCGGGGTGCTAATCCATTTGTCGTTGATTGGTGGGCGTCCCTCGGTAGTCATAGAAACCCCAAGAATTCTCACTGGGGTCTCTAAGGCTATGTTGCACGCCCGATGGCGGCTGGGGGGTCCAAATCGGCCGCGGCCTAGGCCGATGACCGAATCGGCCCGGTTTGGCCTAGGCCGACCAGCCGAGTTTGGGACATTAATTTTTTTCCCCATTTTTCACGTGTAAAAAAAATATATATATATATATATGGGCATGTAGGGCTGAAAAAGCCCTACACGCCCATATTTTTTTTTGGGGTGTCGGACCTTCCGCGCGGCGCA